AATTCCTGCAGGCCCCAGAAGTTTTCTATTAAAGCTGCTTTAAGGCTTCCCATGTGGTTCCAATAGACACAGCAGTGCCCAGCATCAATAGCACCACATGAAAGCACTGAGCTGGCCTGCAAAGTGCTGATACTGAGGAAAAGGCAACACCAAATAAGCTCATGTTTGTCTTTTTCTCCTCTTCTTTTCTCCCCTAATCACCCTCCCTACCCATCTGCCTCCTCAGACACCACTGGGATAATGCAGAACAACTGCTGGGCTCAACCCACGCCCAGAGCCTGGGGCCCTGCATGGCTGAGGATGAGATAAATGGGACAGAAAATCCTTTTTGGGCTCTGCACAAAATTTAGCCACTTTCTCTGCCACAGGCTCAGGGCAGGAAGCCACATGAATGCACCCTGAGAACTCTGATTCCAGCCATAATTCCTCACACTTTCCTTTCGAGTTGATGCCTCAGGTTTGGCTTTCCTATTCTCCAGATTCTGTGCTGATGCCTCAGGTTTTGGATTTTCTATTTTTCACATGCTATGCTGCTTTAGTGTGTGAGTCTGGGTTCACATTATGGGATGGTGAGCTCTGTGCACAGAGCAGGGAGACAAAGCAATTCCTGCTCCAGCTGAGGACCAAGGACAAATGATCCAAATCTCAGCACAAAGACCGTGGGCTGGAGAGAGAAAAACAAGGATGGGACTGCATAGGCTAAAGCTGGAATTGGACCATTCACTCCAAGATGCAAACAGAGCAGAACTTATAATTTTGTGACTGATCATCCGTTTTTTGGGACCATTTTGGTTCATCCTGGATTCATTTTGGGGACCATTTTGGTTCATCCTGGGTTCATTTTGGGGACCATTTTGGTTCATCTTGGGTTCATTTTGGGACAATTTTGGTTAATTCTGGGATCATTTTGGAACCATTTTGGTTCATCTTGGGTGCAGCCCTGGCTGGGCTCTTGTGCTGCCCAAGGTGGATCCATTGAGGAGAAACTTTTCTGAATTTTTCTCCTTTATTCTGTAACTCTTTCCAGTCCCTGTTCCAGACCAGCCTTCTCAAGGCACCACAGTGAGAGCAGCAGGAATTCTGAGCCCCACAGAGCGTGGGGATGTCCTGCCCTTGGACAGCTCTGTCTTCCACACCAGCAGAGCATCCCAAAGTGCTGCAATTTGGGATTTGGGTCAGACAGACTGACCACAAATGGGAACTGAGTGACAAAATGTGCTCTAAATCAACATGAATCAACAACCTCTTATCTTCCAAGCCAGCACAACTTCCCTTTTGAACCCCATGATGCTTCCAAGACAAGAGAAATAATTCACCTTCCTTTTGATTCCTGACTCAGCAGCTTGTAATCAATTTACAATTTAAATTCCCAACTGCACCACCACGCTCAGGTGACCCATTTTCTACTCCTGGGTGTAAAAATTTTTTTTTTTCATTCCTGTTCATACTCTCTGCCAACCCAAACAGCAACCCGGGGTCCTCAAACCATTCCCAGATCCAAGGGAATCCCTGGGAGCAGTGCAGGGATAACAGGATCATTTTTTTTTCCCCTGGGCATAACAGAACTCCAAAAAAAAAAAAAAAAAGGAAGCAGAACAGAACAATGGACATCCTGCTGTGCTTTGTTAACAAACCTCTGTCAGGAATATCCTCCCCTGGGAGGAGACAGCATCCAGCTGCTAAATCCATGAAGGAACTGGACATGCAACACAACTGAGGCAGTTTTAAGGACAAGCCACAAGTCCTAACAAAGCTCAGGTGGGCCAGCACCTGATAAGGCTCTTAATTGAGCAGTTCTGGGCTCAATTTTAAGTCTCTTTGAAGGGTTCACATCTTTTTAAGGTCAGAATCTGCATCATGACATAGTATAGTCATGGGATTTGGGGATTTGGTTTTGAACTTCGAAGTGTTTAGCACTCTGCCAGTTTTATTGAGCATCCATCTCAAAATAATATTTACACCTATGTGACCCTAAAAGCTTCATTTTTATGACAACAGGACCTACCTCCAAATAATTCTGGACTCCAACCAGGGCCTGATCACTCTTGGTCTCCATAACCCCACTGCAGAGCAAAACAAATATGATTTGTTGATGTCAACATTTAGGGACTTGACAGAGCCCACCAAAAAATTCAGGACTTCTTGGATCTTCCCACAGAACTTGCAGGGACCAAACACTGAGGAATGGGCAGGGGAAGTGCCTTATTGGTTATTAAACTTATTAAAATCTAAATTATTAAAATTAAAAGGTTATTTTCCAGAAGGGATGTTGGAAATAAAATAACCCTTCAAATGTTCCTCTCTGGACTGGCCCTTGAGATAGAGGCTGACAGGGGAGTAAGGCAGATAAGTTAGTTTGAGATGAAACTATTTTAGGGCCAGGAGTTGGTTGCCAGTTGGAGGCCAGGACTTGTGAATGTCATAAATTGACTAAAAGGCCACAAGGACAGTTTGTGGTGAACTTCCTGCTCTGTCCTGCTGCCCCAGCATGAGACAAACTTTCCTTCTCCTCTGCCCCTTCCTGTCTTTTTGCCTTGCTGGTTTGATGCATTTGCTGCCTGAACCATCCCTTTTTCTGTGCACAGCACGGTCCAGCTCTCACCTGCTCAGGAAGGGGTTAATCTCTCACCTGGACACTGTTCTCATCCAATCCTCATCAAACTCTCCAAATTCTGCTCTACCCAAACTCTGCCATCCCATTTTCTGCTCTCCCTAAACTCCACTCCCCCAAACCCTGTCCTCTCTCCAAATCCTGCCATCCCAAATTCTGCCCTCACTCCTTCCTCCCCAAACTCTGGCCTGCCCAAACTCTGCTCTCCCAAATTCTGCTCCCCCGAGTTCTGCTCTTCCCATTGTACTCATCCAGCCCTCCCCAAACCTTGCTCTCCCAAACCCTGCTCACTCCAAACTCTATACCCAAGCTGTCCACAAACTCTGTCCCCAAGCTCCATCCCCAAGCTCTGCTCTCCCAAATCCTGCTCTCTCCAAGCTCTATCCCCAAGCTGTCCCCAATCTCTGTCCCCAGCCCCGTTGTCTCCATGGCTCCCCGGCGCCGCTCGGCTCCCGCCCGTGGCCGGGGCCGGGCGGGGCACGTACCTGTACCTGGTGCCAAAGTACTGAAAGAACACCAGGTACCGGGCAGGGGCACCGGCCATGGCCGGCCCACCGGGACCCGGGCACAGCCCCGGGAACACAGACCCGGCACGGAGCGGGCCGGGCAGGGCAGCACCGCCCGCAGCGCCGCCCCTTCCCCCGGCCGGCACCGCCGCTTCCGGCACGGCACGGCACGGCACGGAACGGGACGGCGGGGACCGGGAGAGAGCGGGGCGGGCTGGTGGCGAACGGGATGGGCTGCAGAAGAACGGAATGGGATCGCGGGAGCCGGGATGGGCTGGTGGGGAAAGGGATGGTCTAATGGGGAACAGGGGTGGGCTGGAGAGGAACGGGGTGGGCTGGGCTTCACCTCAGCTGCTCCTCAACTCTCCACTGTGCTGCCTGCAACTCAGTTGGATGGAAGAAAACAATAATAATAAAAATAATAATAATGTTGTATTGATTTCAGCTAAGAAAACACATAAAGCAGGGACCACAAGAGATGCTCCAAGGGCTGGGAGAGCTGGGAATGTTAAAAACCTGGAGAAGGCTCCAAGGAGACCTCAGAGCACCTTCCAGGGCCTAAAGGGGCTCCAGGAGAGCTGCAGAGGGACTGGGGACAAGGAACAGAGTGACAGGACACAGGGAATGGCTTCCTTGGAGTGGAATTCCAGAGCAGCTGCCCCTGGATCTCTGGAAGTGTCCAGGGCCAGGTTGGAGCACCCTGGGATGGTGAAAGGTCCCTGCCCGTGGCAGGGGGTGGGAAAAATGGCATTAAACATCAAATTTCACTTCATTTCGTCCCTGTTCCTGTCCATGACTGGGTGAGGTTTCCTTGTGACATCTGTCAGGGCCCCCTTGGCCTGTTGATTCACTCATGGCTTCAGTTTAGAGGTAGGATTTTCTTCAAACATGGGATTTTCACGTCAGGCCCTTCTCTCGGTTCACAGAAAGTTCATCCGAAACCATCAGTGAGCGATGTGGTTGCTGCTGCTGGGTCTGTGGTGCTGGGTGGGTGGAAGATCAGGATTAATTAACCTCAATTAGCCACACCACTGTTTGTTGCCTGTCCTGTGGCAATGGAATTCACCTTCAGCTGGACCCACAAACCCAGATGTGCTCCTTCCCCAAGTGATTCCTGCAGATTTATCCCCTGGCTGCTGGCAGTAGTAAATCCACTGCTTATGGAAAATGAAAAACTGGATTAAGGAGGGACAGGATTGATGCCAATCCTGCTGCTGGTTATGGAATTTTACCATTGGATTGGGTTTGTTCTTCCTGCCTGGAAATCCTGCCTGGAAATCATGGAAGGGTTTGGACTGGAAAGCTGAAATTCAGCTATTCTGGAAATCATGGAATGGTTTGGATTGAAAAGCTGAAATTCCTAAGGACAGTGAAAAAAAAGGGGGAGAAGGGATAAATCCTAATGACAGGTAAAAAAAAAAGGGGGGGGGGGAAATGTGGATAAATCCTAACAATAGGGGAAAAAGATGGATAAATCCTAATGGCTGGTGTGCAGGAGGGGAGGTCATGGCTGTGTCCATGCCGTGTCCGGTTCTGTCCGTGGCTCCGCAGGAGGCGGGTCCGTGCGGTTCCCTGTTCTGTCTCGGTGCGGGAGGCGGATCGGAGCCGTGGCAGGGCTGGACCGGGGGCTGTGCCCGGTGACGTACCCGGTGCCATAGCCGGTTCCGTGGGAGGCTGGGCTGTATCCGGTGGTATCCCCGGTTCCGTGGCGGTGCCGCGGGAGGCTGGGCTGTATCCGGTGCTATTCCCGGTTCCATCCCCGGTTCCCTGGCGGTTCCGTGGGAGGCTGGGCTGTTCCCGGTGCTATTCCCGGTTCCATCCCCGGTGCGGGAGGCGGGCCGGTGCTGTACCCGGTTTCATCCCCGGTTCGGTGCCGGGAGGAGGCGGGCCGGTGCCGCGGGGGGCGGGCGCTGCCCGCGCTGAGCGCAGCCGGCGGGCGATGCGCTTCCTCCGCTGAGCGCAGCGCGGCCGAGCCCGAGCCGGCAGGATGACGGTGGAGTTCGAGGAGTGCATCAAGGACTCGCCCCGGTTCCGGTAAGCGCCGGGGCCTCCCCGGGAACGGCTCGGGGCGGTGCGGGGGGAACGGGAAGACGGGCAGGGCCGTGGCCGGGCAGAGGGAGCGGGGCCCGGTCAGAGCGAGCCGGGCTCGGGCAGAGGGAGCCGGGCCCGGGCACAGGGAACCGGGCCCGGGAAGGAAGGGCCGGAGCCGGGGCCGGGAAGGGCCGGAGCCGGAGCCCAGCGCGTTCTGCCGGCAGCCGGCGATGCTCGGGCCGCAGGCGCTGCCCTGCCGTGCCCGCATCCCTCCCGCACCCCGACTTCCCGTTCCCCACACCCTCCCTTCCATGTGCCCCGCATCCCTCCGTGTGCCCCATCCGTCCTTGTGCCCCCATCCCCCCGTGTCCCCATCCCTCCATGCCCCGCATCCCTCCGTGCCCCGCATCCCTCCGTGCCCCGCATCCCTCCGTGCCCCGCTTCCGTGTCCCGCATCCCCGCTGCTCCTGGAGCTTGGCACGGGAACAGTTTGGGGTTTTTGGGGCTCGCAGCGCCGGTCCCCGCCGGGAACGCGCATCCCCCGGGGCTCGGCCGGGCGGCGCTGCCAGGAGCCGCCCGCAGAGCCGCTCAAGGGGAATACACTCATTTTCCATGCGCTCACATTCCCGGCTCTCGGAGGGTGGATTTTTTAATTTTTTTTTTTTTTTAGCGGTCTTGGAGGAATCTGGGCTGTGACAACAAAGGCTCCGGCTTGGCTGTGCTCTCGCATCCACATCAGGCCGGGGCTGGCGGGGAAGGAGCCGGCAGCTGCCGCTCCATTGTGCCCAGAGCATCCTGGCTGCGTGTCTGGAGGGGCTGGGATGTGCTGGGATGTGCTGGGATGTGCTGCTGCTGTTCGGGAAGAGCAGAGCTCCCGCAGGCAGCGATCCCCGCCGCCCCAGCGCCGTCTGCATCAGCCAAATGCAGACAAAAGCCTGCAGGAGCGGCTGGGGCTGCCTGTGTGTGCAGGGGAAGGAGTTATTGGAGGGTGTTTCTGCTTCCTGCAGATGTTTTGTGTTGTTCCTGCTCGGAATCTTTTTGTTTATTGGGAAAAAAAAAAAAACCCAAGAAAAAGCAGCTTGCGTTTTGTTGGAAATGTGTTTAGGAGTGGTTTCTAAAGCATTCAATGGTTTTCTGAAGCATTTCTAGAAGTGGTTGGGGTGCAAAAGGGTTGCAGTGGTCTGTGGCTGAGGCCAGGCTGCCAAATTGGCATTTTGTGGTGCTGTGTGCTTGTGGAGGTAACACACGTGTGGCTGGGATGTGAGAAGGGTCACCCTGCATGTGGTTTTATTGGGATCCTGCTGGGAGATCTGCTCATCCTGCAGGGAGAGAGATCCTGCAGGGAGATCCTGCTCATTCTACAGGGAGATCCTGCTCATTCTACAGGGAGATCCTGCTCATTCTATAGGGAGATCCTGCTCATTCTACAGGGAGATCCTGCTCATTCTATAGGGAGATCCTGCTCATTCTACAGGGAGATCCTGCAGGGAGATCTGCTCATTCTCAGGGAGATCTGCCCATTCTCAGGGAGATCCTGCAGGGAGATCTGCTCATTCTCAGGGAGATCTGCCCATTCTCAGGTAGATCCTGCAGGGAGATCTGCTCATTCTCAGGGAGATCTGCCCATTCTCAGGGAGATCCTGCAGGGAGATCTGCTCATTCTCAGGGAGATCTGCCCATTCTCAGGTAGATCCTGCAGGGAGATCTGCTCATTCTCAGGGAGATCTGCCCATTCTCAGGTAGATCCTGCAGGGAGATCTGTTCATTCTCAGGGAGATCTGTTCATCCTCAGGTAGATCCTGCAGGGAGATCTGCTCATCCTCAGGGAGATCTGCTCTATCTGCTCTTCCTGCACTGCCAGGTGCTGGGCAGGGCCAGGTGAGATGACAGCTCTGGCATCATGGGACTTTTCATAGAGTGAGGCAGGAAATGCTTTCATCAACCCTCTGCTCACTTAGCATCCATTAGGATTTATCCACCTTTGTTTCCTGGTTTTTTCATCTATCATTAGGATTTACCCACCTTTCCCCCCCCTTTTCTTTTGTATGTCATTAGGATTTATCCACCTTTTTTTCCCTATCATTAGGATTTATCCATATTTTCCTCCCCTTTTTTCCCACATATTATTAGGATTTACCCACCTTTATTTCCATTTTTTTTCACGTATCATTAGGATTTGCCCACCTTTTTCTCCTCTGTCATTAGGATTTAACCACCTTCCCCCCTTTTTTTATTCCACAAATCATTAGCATTTATCCACCTTTATCCCCCACTTTTTATCCACATATCATTAGGATTTACCCAGCTTTATTTCCTTTTTCCCCCCCCTATCATTAGGATTTACCCACCTTTATTTCCCTTTTTTCCCCCCATCATTAGGATTTACCCATCTTTATTCCCCCTTTTTTCCCCACATATTATTAGGATTTACCCACCTTTATTTTCCCTTTTTTTCCCCCCACATATCATTAGGATTATCCACCTTTATCCCCTTTTTTTTTCCTGTCATCCCACCCCATTGTGCTGCAGAGCACATGAACGGCAGGGTGGCCCCGAGCCAGAGCTGTGACCTCACTGTCCAGCTGTCTGTCTGTCTGTCCCACATGGCACTGACCCTTTTCCTGCTGACGTCAGCCCTGATTGATCTGTTTATTTATTTATTTTGCCCCTGGTGTGTGTGTGTGGGCTCCAGGCCAGGTTTTTCAGCATCATTCTGCTCTGTCCATGAAAACAAAACAGCTCTCAGAGCCCTCCCCTGGACCTTGATCAAAACCACTTATTTAAGGCTGGAATTATGAACTGTTTCCCCCATGGCCAGACACAGAATCTCTGTTAGAGGAAGAACAAGAGATTAGACATCTCAGGAGCTTGGGCATTTCAGGAGGGTTGGAATATGTGCAGCAGGGGAATATTTAAATTATGAACACTTCAGATAGTGAGAAATTCTGATGTTAGGAGGGGAAAGAAGAATCAAGTTGAGTTATTGAGAATTTACACTTTGAATATTCAGAAATCCTAACATTAGAAGGAAAAAGAAGAATCAAGTTGAAATATTCAGACTTGACACCTCAAATACTGAGAAATTGTGATGTTAGGAGGGGAAAAAAGGAATCAAGTGGAATTATTGAGAATTTATACCTCTAATATTAAGAAATCCTGACATTAGAAGGAAAAAAAAATGAAGCTAGTTGAGTTATTCAGAATTTACACCTTGAATATTGAGAAATCCTGATGCTAGAGGGGAAAAGAAGACTCAAGTTGAATTATTCGGAGTTTACACCTTGAATATTGAGAAATCCTGATGTTAGAAGGAAGAAAACAGAAACAAGTTGAATTACTCAGACCTGACACCTCAATTATTGAGAAATCTTGATGTTAGAAGGAAGGAAGGGAACTAATTTGAGTTTTTCAGAATTTACACCTCAAGTATTGAGATAATCCTGATGTTAGAAGGAAAAAAAAGGAACCGAGTTGAATTATTGAGAATTTGCACCTCAAATATTGAGAAATTCTGATGTTAGAAGGAAAAAGAACTGAAATACTCAGACTTAACACCTCAGATATTGAGAAATCTTGATGTTAGAGGGAAAAAGAAGAACCAAGTTGAAACATTCAGAGTTTACACCTCAAATATTGAGAAATCCTGATGTCAAATCCCCCTCATCACTTCCTACCTGATAAGTTCCAGTTCCTACAAAGAAAATTGACTTTTTTTAATGTTTCAAATGCCATTATTTAGATGTGTCTCAGCTCCAGCTTGGCAGATAAAGCTGATTTCTGCCAGGCACTTGCAGAGGCGTGGCTGCAGTTCAGGTAAACAATTTAATGACCTGGCAGGACCTGTTCTTGCACCTCGGAGGGTTTTTATCTCCCAGCAGGAGTTTGGGAAATCTAGGAACACTCTTTTTGTGGGAATGGATTTATGGAACATTCCTAAATCCACTGAGAAATCCAATTGAATCAGTCCTCTGCTCACTTAGCATCCATTGGGATTTATCCACCTTTATTTCCCTTTTTTTTTTTGCCTGCCATTGGGACCTATGCACCTTTTTTCCCCTATCATTAGGATATTCAATCATATATTTATATTTGTATATTTTTATAATATAGTTATGTATATATTTATGTTTCAATATATTATATATAATATAAAATATATAATTATATATTTTATATATTTATATAGTAATATGTAATATAGTTATATATTATATATATTTATATATTTATATAAAATAATTATTATTTCTTTTTACATTTATATTTTTATTTTTATTTTTATTTTTATTTATATATTTTAGGCACTGGGTTGGGGTTTTTTTGTAAGGTATTATTTATATATAAAACTTCTGCACAGAGTGGACGGAATGAGGCTGAAGGCCCAGTTTGGTGTCAGGGCTTAGCAGGGAACAGCTGAATTTTGGAGAGGTTTTTGCTCTGGATTATTTTGGGCAGGAAGGTTGAGAGCTGTAACCTGAGCTGCAGGAAGGATTTGGGATTTGGAATTTGGGGTTTTGGGTTTGGGGTGGCTGCAGCTGTCCCTGAGTTTGTCCCACAGCACTGCCACCCTCAGCTTCAAAATCAAAAATTAATTTTAATTAATTTCCTACTTACAGAACTCTCAGCTTCAATATCAAAAATTCATTTATTTCCCACTTATAATACTTTATTAATTACATTCCGTTTACTAGCTGAAAATATCTATTCATCTATTTTAGTTTATCTGGTTTAACTTTGGGGTCTTCCCACAGGGATATTTGGGGTCTTTATAAAGAGATTTTTGGTGTCTTCCCACGGAGATATTTGGTGTCTTCATAAGGAAATATTTGGGTTTTTCCCACAGGGATATTTGGGGTCTTCCCACAATATTATTATTTACAAAACTAGAAAGCTCCTGAAGTGGAGGAATGAATGAAAATAAAATTTTGGACTCCCAGGCTCTTCTTTAGCAGTGGCCCCTTTAAATCCTGGTTTCATAACTATGAAATTTCAGTCACAGGATG